CTGTTGGTTGATTCAACCCCGAAAGGACGACTTGTATCAAATATGATGCGCGATTGTTTCAAGGCCTCTCTCACTAGGCAGAAATTTTCGGAAACATCGGCCAATTATTCTATACGTGCCACATGTAAAATGTAATTTTAATTTTAGTAGCGCAGCGCAACAATTACTTTTTTGAAAAACGAAAAAACCATGAAATCTGTTGAGATTTGTGCTAAAGAATAAATCCTAATTTTGTATGGGAAAACCATACTTAGAGTAAATTTCTCAGCTTTTCCTCAAATACGTTATTCTAAACAATTGAAAGTAAACGAACAACTGGTAAAAACCTAATTATAGTGAGATTATCAATGAATTGTTGTTTCATACAAAATGCACCATTATTTTTGATAATCTGAACACTGCTTTCCCAAATTTGCTCATTGTGATGACTACTGAGTCTTCAAAAAGACTAGGGAAGAAACCAGCGCTTTTATCCATACAACTAAGCGACATATGTATCCAAACCAAAACCACATGAGCGAGTAGAGCAAATCTTTTCTATCTAAGTATTACAAGAATTCCAAAAATTCTTGCAAAACAGAGAAAAAGAATCTTACTCAAACAACGGAAATCGCGCACTGCATTCGCTCTGCGCGCATCGATATCAATAGCCGCCCCTTAGGAGTGAATAAACGACCACCGATTTATAATCTATTGATACTTCCTTCTTTTGATATAATCTATGACTGACCCAGTTTCATTGAGGGAAAGAAATCCAATCATATTATACCACTAACGTGTTAAATGAGGGGGAAGAGGTCAAAACAAGAAACCGTGGATGCGTGGCAGAGCACCTTTACCTACTGTAGCTTACCCTCTCCATCCAGTGCTCATAGAAAACATATGTTACTTTATGGAAGACGGGCAGGTAAGAAACTAAACGTTTGTGGAGCAGTTCTTACCTCAGATTTCGGTATTAATAGCACGCAGCTGAGAATATGAAGATAGCGTTTCATTTTTTTATTATAGACCAAACGGTTCAGGGCAAATAAATAAGTGCTGTAAACAACACGATGACTGTTACGGCGATCAGTCAGGACGAAAATACTGCGACGATAAACTATGCGGATGTCTCACCGTGGGTCATAAACTTCTCTTAATTTCTCTGCGAGTGTTTCATTTTTTAGGCTCTTAATTAATCACAAGACGAGTTTTCACTGATTCTTCTCCCGTGAAGAAATTATTTAACGTGTGTTTTGATGTTTTTCTTGATAGTATCCACAATAGCCTACTTCTCCATAGCGCAGTCATTGACGGATGACCAATTTGCGCGACACCGTACAACAACCCACCCATGTCCATCATAACACGTAAACAAGGGTACTGTTTTGTGTACTCATCAGACCTCGACTGTGGACCGCTCTTTTATAGACACGCTCAAAACGATATAATCTAATGAGGATATGACATGTTTTGAGCCGTTAGGTTTAGATACGGGCGCCTGTTTCATCCCATTGGGTTTATCAGTAGCACCATCCCTCGGTTCAACTGATCCCCTGAATTTAAATAATCCTCTATAAAGAAATAGATGCCGAGAATGAATCATTTCAAATCAGATGATGGAATTACCTGACATTGTGGTGACCGGCAGTCGAGACTGTGGCTTTCACAGTGAACCATATTTCTACTGTCCTCTAACCTCTACTGTCGACCACAGTGTCATCCATCATGTGACTTGGGATGATTTATTACTCGGCGTCGGCTCCTTTATAGGGGGACTGTCAAGCTTCAAGGGATCGGCTGAATCGAGGGAAGGTGCTACTGATGAATCCCAATAGGACGAAACATTCGATTGTAGAGCATTAGATCTAACGGCTCAAAACATGTTATGTCCGTAATCACCAGAAACAAATACGGGATTGTTGAGGCAGCATTCGTTCATGTAAGCTGATTTTATAGCAGAGTTGAATAAATTTCAGAACCTGGGAATATCGTGTAGGTGCAGATTTACTCGGCCAAACACACTTATAACTCCACGAGAAAAGTTTCAAGAAATAGATTGTATCACTACGACCATCCTGGATTCGAAAAGCGGCGAAATGCAGTAAATCATTCATAGATGTTCCACTTATGGGCTCTTTATTACTCAAACACTAGCTCATTTATTAGTACCTAGTCGACGATATAGTCGGTACTAAGGATTCCAAAAGTTAGCAGGCTGAAACTCTTGGTGCCGATCAATCGTTGAGGGAAGCTAGGTGCACTCATCATCGAGGGTCCGTCAAAGATGAACGAATGCATGTCTGGTTTGACAATGACTTGTGGGAGCCGATCAGTGGTATAACTCTGAGGTTTCCACAAATTCAGAAGGTGCCGTAGTGAATGTGTGTCCCATACGATTGAAACTAAGTCAGCTCCACTAACAATAATTTTATGTAAACCAGCTCTCATCATAAACACTACTAAATCACTACCTTACTGACGTTTCTGAGGTCAAAATTGAATATATTTTGGTTTGGCGCCCGAATGCGATAGACTTGAAACTCACGGTTGCTATATTTCATACTAATTTCATCCCTTTGTCAGGTACAGACAAAGAGGCAGTCCTCGCCGCTATGAGATGATCACAGTGAGAAAGTTTACTTGAATGTAGTTGAAGGCCAAAATTTTTTTCAAATAACACTGCCTTATCTGAACGAATTCTTTATTTTTTATATAGATTGTGAGAATGATCAAGTCATTTCGAAGTCGGTACGTCAGTGGTTTACCTACGTTTCAGCGATATCGAATTCGTCACGCCACTCTGGACTCTACTTCATAGAATCGTGCAACAAAGTAAGGTTCTGTGTGAAGCGTGTGTTTTCGGTAAAGTGGAGGATACCGATGAGATGTACGTATGCCTTTGAGGTACCGAGCTCCAAAAAGTGTCGAACATTCATGCAAACTATAATTAATGTTTATGGCGGTGTTTGAAAACAATCGATGAGATGGATATTTATTTTTGATTTTTTGTCAAGCAGTGATATGATGCTGCATATATACAACCAGGATATTGAAATTTATGAAGCGCATTTGATATCGAGCGGGAGCTGAACCCCCGTATCACCCAAATCGAGCGCCTGCTATCACTGCACCACCGCAGCCATCGCTCTGCAACCACTCTTTTTTCGAAAGAAACTATCGTAGCTGTCAGCAACTAATTATTAACGAGTTTGGTACGGCAAAGCACATATTAGTATTGAGCCCAGTTTTATCGAAGATAGAGTAGAGGTGGCATCTGTAGCGCAGTGGTAGCGCCAACCTCCTCCGTCCTAAAATGGCCGAAATGTGGATTTTGCAATTCGCCCGATAATAAATATTTGCACACCACATGCTCTTAGGCCTCTCATAATAACGCATTACTGCTGCTAAAAAACTAGTGAAAATGAGAATTCACTGAGATTAGATATTGCGACTAGCTGCCAGCATATAGATTTGATGCCGATATGGGCTTACCAGACTAAGCCGTTAAAGGTTGGTTGCTGACAGCTACGATAGTCAATGTCGAAGAATGTGTGGCAGCAGGGCGGTGGCATCTGTGGTGTAGGCTACCAAGCCCTCGCTCTATCGATAGCGGGTTCAACTCTCTTCTGATGTTAAATATATTACATACCACTTAATACTTTTAGATGTTAATATATACTCAGTAATATTGAGTAATGTGCAAAGCAACAATATTGGATATCTATTTGTAACATCATACCACCGCTAAAGGCGGTTAATAAAAAAGAAATCTAGTTGATTTTACACTTTTAGATGCATATTTGTGACACTGGCCTATCCAAATGATACTTGGAACTGTAGGTTGCCACACGAGGATCTGGTGTTTGTGCTCGTGAAGATGGTCCATTACTATGTCTTCTTGTCAGGGAACTTGGCGAAGAAGCCTATAAACGATCGAAACCAGTGACGACGATGCCGGAACCTTAGGTATCTACCAATGAGTTGAATGATTTGCAATCAGATTTTTTTTGGCGTGTACCGTAATTCGGCCGAATGATGCTTTAAGAAGTGAAGTTGCATATTTTCAGAGTGCACCTAAGTCCGCAAATAATGCTCGAACATCGTCAGGTCGCACAAATGTTAGCAGGTAAAGAGTTAGGTAAATAAAGGATAGGTACTCATAAATAACAACATCAAAACCAATAACGAAGATGAGCTACTCCCATGTTCTGTGTTACATTTCAAATAATTGTCTTACATTTTCGTTCAGATTTGAGCCTCTTTGAGACGATCGATAGCAATCAGTATTTCAAAAGACGCAGAATTTATAGAGCTGTATAAATTTGAGGTGTTGTGTCGTATAGCTGTTGGTGCTTTCAAAATAAAACAAGTCTCCACTTGTACTCATGAGTGACTTCTGATGGAAACAATTTGTGCGTGTGTGCTATGGTAAATAATAAGTGCAATTTTCCAAAATCAAAATTATAATGAAAAATCGTTCATACAACTCTGTAACCTATAAGTGTTACTGTTGTTGTTATTGTTGCTGGTAATTTTAGCACGAACCTCCAACACTTCTTCACCAACCAATAAGAAATAACTTATCATTAACTAGGATCCAATTCTCTTCGGAGCATGAGCAACAGTGAAAAAAAATTGCGTTTCTCACTCTATATCTTAGTTCCTCATTATAACGCAAGTAGATACCAGCAAATTAGCAGTCACATGGACAACCAGCAAATCAGCAGTCACATGGACACTGCACTGAGAAGTCACAAGAGGCGTCCTTCAGTGAAGATGACGCATTGATGTGCAAGTAGAAGAATAAAAAAGAAAACGAAAAGAAGAGAAAGAAGGTTAAAAGAAAAGCCCTAAAAATGCTAAGATATAAAGGTGCGCAGCGATACAATCAGGAATATATACGAGTAAATCATAAAAAGTTCCGATGATCAGATGAAATTCTTTTAATTTGATAGCTTCCAGAAGTGATATGATGTTCTTAGAAATATCCAAAGATGTAGAGTGATGTGCAAAACTTTCGCGTCAGGCGGGACTCAAACCCACATCTCACTCTATCCGGAAGCGCGTGCTCTAACCCATTGCAATACTGACGCCCATTTTGCGCACCACTCTTTCTACGCTAAGCGACACAACGCAGTTTCGCACATCATTCTACATCTTTGGGTATTCTAAAAACATCATGCCACCGCTAGAAGCGATTAAATTAAGAGAAATCCATTTGATCATAAATACCCACTATCTGGCAGCGTGACCGGGTTCAGTGTCGATAGCGACTACCCGGGCCAGGCCGTTGACGGTTGGCGACAGACAGATAGATGAGTTGTAGCGTGAAAAGAAGGGGGGGGGGGGGGGGGGGGGGCAAAGTGGGTGTCAGTAGTGCAACGGGTTAGAACACGCTCTCCCGGATATAGATGTGGGTTCGCGTCCCTCCTGACGCGAAAGTTTTGTACATCACTCTACATTTTGGGCATGCAGAGTTCGATAGCAAAAATCATTGGCCACTGTGTACCAAAATGCGCGAAAACCCTGCTTTTCTTCCTCTCCTGATCAACTTATTCATCTAACTAATTTGTTAGAATGATTTAAGCTCAAAAAGGGGTTGGTACGCCAAGGTCATACACCGGTGTTTCGGAGGTTCGTCCTCCTCATCAGTGACCGCCGCCCCACATTCAACCTGCATTGAAGCAAGGAGGGAGGCGTATGTGGTGATGGCACAGTGTACTATGACACTGTACCATCACCACCTCTCAGTCGATAGATTTTTGCTGCCAGATCAAAACTAATTCAAAAGATCGACTGTTTTTTGAAACCCCCAAAAAAACATTCAATATAATTCCAAAAAAGAATGATTTAAGCTCAAAAACTGATGGTCACTGATGAGGAGGACGAACCTCCGAAACACCGGTGTATGACCCTGGCGTACCAACCCCTTTTGAGCTTAAATCATTCTTTTTTTGGAATTATATTGATTGTTTTTTAGGGGTTTCAAAAACAGTCAATCTTTTGAATTAATTTGTTAGAATTCTTCTCAAGATATCCTAACATTTGTTGTCACTAATAGAAGGATCACCGATTCTGATCTTTTTTCTGCCGCAAAATGCATTCTAAGATGAGAATATTTACAACTGACTGATAAGTATTCATATAGTATTTCTCAACGCTACTTTTTTACTCTTTAGATATTAGAAAAATCAACTTGTAAATTAATTAGATGTGAAAACTGCAATGTTTGCTTATTTTGACAAATTACCAAGTTCAATGTGTATCGTCGATTTAGAACTTTCACCTTTACTCTCGACTGTTTATAAATACCTCGTTCGAAAACAATAACAATCTGATCATCTGATAACATGATAACATCTTTTGAGCCTTTTATAACGTATGATGCCACTCTTATACAATACTAGACAGATGCTGGTTCGCCTTTGCAGGCTCCTCGGTAGCACAGTGCTTTAGTGAGGCCTGCAAGAGATCTGCTGAGCCGAAAGGAACCGTAATATTGAGGAGCCTGCAAGAGCAACACAACAGCTTTGTAGTACTGTAACAGTACCGCATCAGACCTTATGAAAGCCTCAAAAGATCTTATCATGATACCAAATTAAAAACTTCTAGTTCGAGACTTATTCTCATGTCATCAGTTCAAAAACTTCTAGTTTGAAGTGTGGCTCCAGAAATATCCAACGCTGTAGAGTGGTGTGCGAAAACGTTTGCATCAGCTGAGATTTGAACTCACATTTCACTTTATAGGGCAGCGCGTGCTGAACCATTGCACAGCGTCGTTAATGCGCGCGCTCCCCCATAATGTGAAATACGGGCTCGAATCCCATCTGACGCAAACGTTTTTGCACACCACTCTACATCATTAGGTATATTGTAACATCATACCACCGCATAGGTGGCCAAATATAACAAATTACGATTGATCATCACGTTCCACAAATATCTATGGAACTCGTGATTTTACAGTAGAAGGAAGTTATGTGCAGTTTACCACAAATTCAGAGTGTTCTTCCGATTCCGCGCTTTTCGAACCATATTCTTAACGATACCTTCCGGTCTACTACTATGAAAGCTCGTCTGAAAATTTAATATAATATGATAGAATGCTATCGCAGCGCTAGTGTCATATGTACGTTTCGGCATTCTCGCACGCCTCTTTTTTCCTACGCGTCATTTGCGCATGAGTAACAAGCGAATTTGTTCCTACTGACAACTCCATTTTGAAGCAAGTATAAGCAAGCTGTCTAGCAAGATGTTTGAAAAAAGGTGCCCAATTTAACATATTGTGAGCCATTTATGAAGTCTGTTATTATACGTTTCATTTGTAGGCATGCCTTTTGGTTTTTAAACCAATCAGTAGTACGGTGTTCTTTGTTCGAGCTATTCCCCTGTTAGTATATAACCCACACGTAGTGAGAAATCGACGGCGAAGATGTCACTCGTTCAAAGTGAAATTTTCACTTCAAATTGCAGAGGTTTTCATATAAAAGGTCCAGTGATAAATTCATTGGACATGGTAGTGATTAACGCCGAGTTCTGCTGATGAGGCTGAAAAGCCGAAAAACATGGCTTGCACTTTATTAGTGCAATTATAGACCTCGTGAAAGGCTTAGGTTATGCTATCGGATTATGCTGTTTTGAGCGAGATCTGAAAAAAAAACAGTCGACTATAGAGGTGTTGTCTTCGAATATTCTCTTCACTTCTTCTCTCAAACTGTATAACTTTTCTGGAACGATCAATGGAGTCAATAAGTTGGGTTTTGTTGGATAGTCTGACCTACGAAATGAAAGGCTTTATTTTGTTTAGTAACAATGGCACCGTCGATGCACTTTATAATGAAGCAAGTTGACTGAGAGCTCTTCTCATGAGTCAACACATGTGAAGAATCAAACAGTACGTGTATGTAAAAGTAATAAATGTCCTTACTTCTTGCCTAGAAATGTGCCAAAAAATCGTTTCATAAAACTTCAGAAGTTGATAGTGTTGTTGTTATGCACTACTTCCGTATGAAAGCGCAAAATCTCAAATGCTCTTCGGCAACATTGAACAGGTGATGTGTTGGCGAAGTGTCTAATTTTGTGCAAAGCATACCTAACAAGGAAAAACCTCTTTCGCTCATGTTTTACTCCGTCATTATGACCAGAGTGCTCTTAGCTGCCCAAATGGAATTTTCAGAAAAGGATTTATCTTTTTAGTGAGATTGATAGGAAGACGTTTAACACGTGCTACCTTGAGCTGCGTTTCAATTAAGTGCGCTTCTGCAACTTTTCGGGCAACTAATAAATATGGCTTCGTGTAAAATTTCCTGAGCTTTCTATTTGTACCAAATTTGTCCATACTTACCGCATCACGGTCACTCAACGAAGACTTTTTCGTAATTTGATGCTTTACAAGTACGATTTGGGACGTGGTGCCAAAACGCCTTTGAGAAATCAACCGTGCAAAAGCTCAAGTATTCGTGTCCAGGCAAACAACGTTTCGTTTCATCGCTGAATTTCGAGCCGGCACCACCAACTTGAAGGACCAGCTGCATTCCGGATGTCCATGCGAAGTTGATCGAGAGCTCATCATAGAAGCAAGTAAAGAATATCCGACTGTGACATTCAAGAACTTGGCTGACGACTTTGACTGTGGTTATGCGGCAATTGGCAGAATACTGAAGGCAGAAGACAAGAAATGGTAGAAGGGTCGATAGATTCCACCGAACCCACCAAAGCACAGATACGAAGGGAATTCATAACTTTCTTTGAATCCTAAGATGACAAGTTCTTTGGGCGCGATAATGATATGTTGCTTGAGAGATGGCAGAAATGTGGATAGCGGGTATTTTAAATTGAGTTGTGTTTAATTAATTGTAATTAACACATTGTTTTATTGCTGTAATATCAACATTTATAGGAAGATTGAATGTTATCGTAAATGTACAGCAATATTGCAACCTTACACTAATTTATTGCCATTTAAGCTATGAGAAGGAATTCTATAAGCGATACGATCTCAACTAAGCAGCTCATTGCCTTCCTGCAATGGATGATACAAGTCTTAGTCACACTACTTAATTACTTCTTTCAACCCGTATCACAACATTTTCGAAAGTTGTAGATTACTGATTGAGCTCGTCTCCTTTCATTCTCAAGGAGAAACACATTAAGGCGTTTGTTTTTGATTGCAGGAGAATGTTGGTAGGTTGCGGTATCAATTTTGCCTAGAGCCACGCCAAGCTACATTAACCATTCTACCACTTCCACCTAAACTTCGGCTTCGCTTTTTAATATCACTCACCTGTGCACGACGCAAAATCGCACAGTTTACCACAAAGGTAGAGATCGAGACTACGAATTCAGGTACAATCAAGTTAGGTAAGGTGTACATCTGAATATCATAATATTGTGGTAAATTCAGGTAAGGTATATATCTGAATATTATAACACATACGTGATGGTTATGATCGCAATGCAGATGGCCTACGTAGCCTTCACAAAGCATCTGAATGAAAATTTGGATTTGACAACGCACTAAAGAGATGCAAAAAAGAAACAAAACAGAGTATTTTTAATTTCGTTAGTCGAAAATTCCTGCACTAGAAAAGTAAATTTTGAATAACTTGGAATTTCTGAGTAATACAATGGGAAATTCTATACACAAAACGAAGGTGCAAATGTGTCACTATCATGCCGAGTGGACATAACATCTCAAACCAGTTATGCAACCTCAGCAGATTCCAATTTGTTATCTATCGTGTATAACTCAAGGAATTTTACTTTAAGGAAAACGGTGGGTGATTTGTAATAGGTTGGTGTTTATGTCTTTTTTCAGATCTAGAGTATTCACCGATGAAACAGAATAATGCGTTTCGCAAATGTTATGATAAAGTGAAGCCGAAAACGTTAGTGATGAACACTCACCATTTAAATAGGACCTCCGTGTTAACGCGTCAGTGGCAGTTCATTAACACGAAATAATTAGTTGTGGGATATTATGAAAAACAGGAGCGTGATTGTCTCCATTCACGCTGCCGCAAAAAGGCTGACCATTGGGAAGACACCTCTGCTAAGGTCACCGTGCTACTGACGAGGCCAGAAGGCTGAATCT